GTGCTAGCCATTTATTTTTAGTAAAACATCCATTGAAAAGACAACAACAACGACAACAGCAGCAACAACAACAGCAGCAAACAACAACAATGACAACGACGACGACAACAGCAACCAGTTCTAAAACTTTTCACACGTTTTGGCCTCGAGCTACAGGGAATCTCAGAGTCTGATTTCCAGTGAAAAAAAAATAAGAAAGACGAAGAAGAAGAAGAAGGAGAAAAAGGAGGAGGAGGAGGAGGAGGAGGAGGAGGAGAAGAAGAAGATATTGTAAATGAAGTGCTTTACTGCTTGCATACGGTTTTCCATCGAAATTCATAAATTCATAAAGATAGACGAAGCGACTATGTCTACACCGCCTTTTTGGCTATTTAGTTAAGTCATCTTCAGGTTATCTAGTTAAGTCATTTTCAGGGAATTTTATCAAGGGATCAATATGTTTCTTACTTTTATTCCCACCGTTTCTGTCCTGAGTCTTCTCAGATACCTCGATCGGCTTTCTTTGTATTGGTCTTGCACCAGGTTCAACTACGGCTGTGAAACAAACAGCGGGTTAGTGCTAGTTATTTATTTTTCAGTAAAACACCCATTAAGAAGACAAAAACAACAACAACAGCAGCAAACAACAACAATGACAACGACAACAACAACCAGTTTTAAAACTGCACACGTTTTGGCCCCGAGCTACGGGGAATCTCAGAGTCTGATTTCCAGTGAAAAATAAATGAAGAAGAAGGAGAAGAAGACGAAGACAAAGACCAAGACCAAGACCAAGACCAAGACCAAGACGAAGACCAAGACGAAGACGAAGACGAAGAAGGAGAAGAAGAAGAAGAAGAAGAAGAAGAAGAAGAAGAAGAAGAAGAAGAAGAAGAAGAAGAAGAAGAAGAAGAAGCGAATATTATAAATGAAGTGCTCTACTGCTTGTATATGGTTCTCTATCGAAATTCATAAATTTATAAGGATAGACGAAGCGGCGATGTCTACATCGCCTTTTTTGGCTATTTAGTTAAGTCATCTTCAGGTTATCCAGTTAAGTCATCTTCCGGGAATTTATCTAGGGATCAGTCTGTTTCTTACTTTTATTCCCACTGTTTCTGTCCTGAGTCTTCCCAGATACCTCG